TCTTTCATTTATTTCTTCGTCGCATAACTTCCTCCTATGTTTCCATTGATTTCTTATATTACGATAGTATGAGTACATTATATAGAAAATTTGATTTTGCCATTCTTTGTTAACAACATCATGTTTTATGAAAGAAAAGATAAAGCAAGAAAAATAACAGATGTGAATAAGGACAGGAAAAATATGCAGTAAAACAATGGCAAAAAGCAAAAAAACAAGTAATTTTATTGACATAGAAAATGAAATTAAATAGTTAAAATGTATTATAAATTGTATGTAAAAATATAATTCTATTTTTTTATTTTTTTTTTATTTAGGTACATTACATACATTTCGTCCAACATATCTTGATCAATATGAATTAGGTATACAAAATGATTCTTTAACAAATTCCAATTCGTCAGATATATTTTCTCGCCAAAAATATTTTTCTTCATCAGAGAATTTTTCAAATCATTCCATATTAAAACAAGAAAAATCATCAATGTTTGATATGACAAATAATATTCAATGGAGTTCAATGTCAACAACTACTGATTTACTTTTTTGATTTCTTTTTTTCTTTGTGTTCTTCGCTATTGTAATTAATCATTTTCAATGAATTATATTTAGATTGTGTGTCAATGAATAATGTACGCTGCTTCTTTTTTTAAATGAATTTATTTGATGCGCGTGAACAAATTTGTTGTTGGGTGGCTTAAAATTTTTTTTTTTTTTGTTGTTTTATGAGACTAGATTCTTTCTAGATAATGGCCGATGATAACGATGAATATAATCAATTTTTACAAACACATCAATTACAACTGGTTTTTAATAAGATACCAAAACATCTTTACCGACGTTTATATGAAAAGATGAAAAACGAAATATTTGATAGTGGTTCATATTTTCAAATATGTCCAGTTGATGATGATGATGAAGAATTAGAAAAAACCTTTAATCCTGAACGTCGTTTTTATGTTTCAACACTTGGAAATGTTGTACTTGATCCTGAAACCGATGAAAATGCAATATTTCTTATTGATCATGCATGGACATATAGAATAAATGATGCAAGAAATGATTTAAAATCTATTCCAAATTTATATGAACGTATGGCATCATTAATGAATGTTAATTCAGATACAAAAGATGATGGTATTGAATTAATATTACAACGTATGTGGAAATTTAATCAAACATATACATTAGCATCTGCACAATTCAATCCACATCTAGATGCTGAAGTTACACAAGAACCTTATTGGTAAGTTGAAAAGAATACGAAAAGAAAAACAATCTATAAATATTCTTTAATAATATATATTATCAACACAACCAAATCAATATTCTTTATAATGTTCCTCGTTATATGCCATGAATTTCTTCGTGTCAAAATTATATGTGTCTCCTGTGACATTTTTCTTTCTCTCTGAATTACCATAAATATTACTATTTGTCATTGTATCCTTAAATAAACAAATAGAGAATCATGAAGAAACAGAAAAACATAAATCTTTGCATGAAAAAATTTCAAAACTATATATCATATCACATAGTATAAACTGTAATTCAATATTGTGAATTTCAATATAGACTTATTTAAGAATATTAGAATTTATTATTTTATCTATAAGTTTACTATATAATTGTGTGTCATTCGATAATAAAAATCAATTTCTTTTCTTTTTTTTACGTTTAGGTACATAATGGATGAACTTGGTTCATCAATATGTCATTCAGATACAAATACAAATGTTTGTTGTACATCTTTTCTTTTTGTACCAACTCAAACAATGTTTACATTACTTTATCCAATTGTTCGTATTGAACAACCATATACTGAAATTTTTCGAAATTATGTTTATGAAAATACAAATACACTTGATCGTAATATAAAATTATTACCATGGCATCGTGTTCATAATCGTAAAACAATTCTTCGTAGTTTAACAATTCAACAATGTCCTGATTTATTTTCAAAAAAACTTGAAATTAGTACAGAAATATTTGAAGAAGGTCATAAAAATGATTTATATGATAAAATATTAATTAAAAATAAATTGAATATATTTAATAAAGATTATATTTGGAAAGTTTATACAGATTATGATCTTATTAAACAATATTTAACTGATCAACATTATCAATTAACTGATAATATTGATCAAGCTGATATTATATTTGTAAAAGAACAAATTCAAGATTTTCGTTATGAAACATTAAATAATAAATTAATTAATCAATTTCCATTTGAAAATGTATTAACAAATAAAGAATTATTAGCATTAACTGCTCGACGATGGAAATCAATATATGGGTATGCTTTGTTTTTTATATTTTAAACAAATCTAATCAGACATCCATTGCTCAATAAAAACAAAAAAAAAACATTTTTTTTTTTTTAATTAAAATAACATAATTATTTAATACTTTAGGAAAAAAAAATAAGCTTTGAACAAAATGAAATTCTAGGTGAAGTAATAGATTATAAAGTTTTCTGTAAATTTGTGAACTAATTCTAACCAATTTTTCTTTTGGGGATACTTCTTTTTTTTTCTATTAAAAAAATTCTATTATCTATTTAATTTTTTTTTCTAGTGCTTCATCATCATCATCAACAACGACAATTGAAAATGATCCATACATTGAATCACATGGAAATCCGCCATGGTTACCGGTAACATTCGATCTCACACATGAATTACCTCAATTTGCTGTTTATTTTCAAGTAAATTTTTATTGATAAGTTTTTGTGAAATACCATATAAAAGAGGTATTGAAGTATAGGAGTAAAATTTAGAACCGACTCCCTAATGTGACTAGTGGCGTAACCAAGGGGTGGTCAGGTGGGGCTAAGCCCCACTACCAAAGCTTTGAGCCCCACCACCGAGCGAAGCCGCGTCAGCTAAACACTTTTACGAGCCCCACCACCGACTTAGAGCTCGACCAGCTGAGCCCCTCCACCGTTAAAATCCTGGTTTCGCCACTAACTGTGACATACAATTAAAGATGATTTATCAATAATGTTTTGTTGTCATATGTTAATTACTTATTGCATAACTCGAGAATTAAGTAAAAGAATGGCAAAACGATTAACTTCGCAATGAATCATATGATGTGATCTACGCGTACCCTAGAAAATTTAATTAAGAGCCAGTACAGGAGACATTGCATGAATATACCCTATAATATACATATTCTATATGTCCTACGGTAGTACTTTTGAATTGACTTTCTGAAAAAATCCTGAAAATGCTTTTTTTTTCTTTAATGTTTATTCGATATTCTTTTTTTAAATTTAATTAGTATCGTGAAGATCAGCAAATCGATAATACTTGGATAGTTAAACCAATAAATTTAGCACATTCATTTGATATATCAATTACAAATTTACTTGATATGGTTATTCGTTTACCAGAATCAGGCTCAAAAATTGCTTGCAAATATGTATCAAATCCAGTTTTACTTAAAATACCTGACATTGAAGGTAATGGAGTAAAATTTGATATTCGTTATGTACTACTTTTACGTAGTATTCGACCATTAAAATTATATGTTCACAAAATATTTTGGCTTCGTATTGCAAATAAACCATTTTCAATGAAAGAACTCGATGATTATCACGCACATTTTACTCTAATAAATTATCGAGTAAATACACATGTACGACAAATGGATTGTGAAACATTTATAACTATGTTTAATGAACAATATGGTCAACATGGTGAAACATGGTCAATTATTGAAAAACGTATATTTGAAATATTTCAAGAAGTATTTCATTGTGCAACAATTGAAGAACCACCATTTGGTTTTGGTTCATGTTTATCATCACGAGCTTTATATACAGCTGATGTAATATTAGAATATAAAAATCATAATAATAATATACAACCAAAATTATTAGAAATTAATTATTCACCTGATTGTCATCGTGCATGTACTTCTTATCCGACTTTTTATAATCAAATTTTTAATGTTCTTTTTCGAGACCTGACCGATGATAAAGATATTGTAGATATTTCATCGTAATTATTTTAATAAATTTAGTCACGCATTATCAATAAAAAAAAAAACAAAAAGTCATGGTGATGGGTTATTTAACAAAACAATTATACATATATATATATATTCACATAAAGCTAATTAAATTTATTTCATTATTGGAAAATGACGAGATATGATTTATGGACAAAAATGAAAAAAGAACGTCTCTATCGATGAATATATGAATTATCAGTTAAGTTGAAATTTTATTATCATATTGATGTTATCTGTATGACTATTTATTTTCTGAAGACGTTCATTTTCCGAACAATTTTTTTTTGTTTTTGTTTGTAAATCATCAATTAGTGAAAAGTATGAAAATAAATTTTAATAGCTTTTAATATTAAAAAAAAAGGATGGTTTTCGTCAAATTTCGTGAGCTTTTTAAACAAGTATACTTCATGATGAAACGAACATTTCATATTTGATGTGTCTAAATCAAGAACGAAACAACAGACTCCAAATTTTTGAAGTTTTTCTAAATCTCATAAAATTTTCGGTAACTCTTCAAAAGTCCATCATAAAAATCTTAAACGTCTTCAAAATCGCCTTACATAAGTATTACGATGAGAAGCAAGAAAAACATGATTCAAAATAAAAAAATATTTATATCAAAACACAGCTGTCTCTATTATTACTACGAGTTTTATCTAACACAATTTCCGCTGCTGTCTATAAACACATAAATGATGTGACATTCCTAGCTCGTAATAATAGATTGTGAAAAGCAACTTATTTGTATGATAGCAGAGACTTCAGGATCACAAAGAAATTATGGCTTCCTTAGAATTCTTTGAAGTCTCGTGAAGTTTCGAATTTTGCCATTTCTCTTTTGAATATTATAATCAGTGTTCACGTAAATTTATTGAAATAATCATAATATCGTTTGAAAAAATTCAAATAAAAAAAAAATATTATAATAGATTGTCATCGTTCTTTCATAGAGAGCATAGTCATGATGTCAATAGTAACTACCAAAAACCTCCACCGTATGAAGGATAGCCGAATGATCCATAACCATATGGTGAACCATATCCTCCAGACATATCATAGTTATAAGGATTTCCGAAACCAAAATTGCCATACTGATGATGATGCCACAGTTCATAGGCGCCAAAACCAACAGCGCCAGCTAATAAAGCGTCACCAAGCAAATGATGATGATGATGCATATTGTGTAAATGATACTTGTTTGTTTGTTGTCAGTAAACAAAAAAAACACACTAACTAAAGAAGTAATGTCAAGTAGTCATATTTATATATTCATCATACAAGTAAAACGAATGGAGTAAAGTCACTCATGCGTGAGTTGCAAAACAAGAAAAGAATAAAAAGCATAATCAACTTAGCCTACCACGCGTCATGCATTAATTAATGCATAATTTAATTTTTTTATCATGCTTTTAGGCGTGGTGAACGAAAACGATTGAATCATTGGGTGACGCCTATCTACGCATGACCTCAAAAATCATGACTACTTGAGAAAGGCGTATGACGTCATTACTAAATAAGATTGATCTAAATATTTTCTTTTATTTAGTAGAGGAGAGCATAAAGTTTCTTTTTTTTTGTCTAAGATAAAGTTCATAAATACTGTTCACAAGTATTGTCTTTGATTTCAATACAAAAATACGAGTGTTTTACAATAACTAAAAACAAAACATCGTGTAACGTTTTTTTTTAACTATGACTGCCATTTAATTAATCAGTAAAATAGATGAAATGGTTAATAGAAAAAATAAACGATAAATGCTACACTTATCAGTAATGAATTGTAAAATGGTCCATTTATTAAATATAACTAGTACCAAAAAGTTTTGATTTATGTAAGTAAAAAATAGATTTAAATAAATTGAAGAACTATAAAGTAAATAGGAAGAAATTTAAAGTATAGTGGAAAAAAAGAAGAAAATGAACATTGAATTATTGTATCAGTTGGTACATATAGAGTGGTACACCTTCATACCAGTCATATTTGATTTGAGTGATTCATTATCAGATGTATCTATTTTTAACTCAACAGTTTGATTTCCTTTTCGTTGGGACTAGGGATGTACCGAGACCGAGAGCTCGGTCTCGGTGCGTCTCGATCTCGGTCTCGATCCGTCTCGACCTTGGATAGCCTCAACCTTGGTATTGAGTAGTGCCGATCTCGATTATGCTTAATCTCGATCATTTCTTTATCATAGATAAGTGTGCTACTCTGTCTCGGGCGAAATTATATTTCTTTAAGCTTTTCGGCTGAGATTGACCGAGAGCGAGAGTCTCGGCCGAGACGACCGAGACCGAGACTGACCGAGATCGAGACGGGCCGAGACCGAGACTGAGCCGACTCGGACCGAGAGTCTCGGTACATCCCTAGTTGGGACTCTATTATTTCTATTTATTTTATGATTTTTCTTCCACTACCTATTCATTTGATATGTTACTTCTATATTAAGAAACTTGTACCACTTCTATAATTACAAATATATCAGATTTTGTAAACCCAAAATATGCTATTTTTATTTGAAAAACACTAAATATTTATAGATGAGGATCGATATTGACAGCGACTGAGAAAGAAGTTGATAAGTTTCTTTTGATTTGTTCTAGATAATGAATAAAAAGAATTAAAGCCATGATTATCTTTATTCACGAAATGTATGCGTTAAAAAAAGGTGGTCCAAAGACCAAAAATATATTTAGAACAGGTGAAGAGAAAGAAAAACAGAATAAATATGATTCATTCTTACGTCATGTCAATATTTGTATTGATCATTGAATATAATTGACTGTTAAAAAATGGTATCTAGTGATTTTTAAATCTATTCACAAATCTAACTAATTAATAACTGACCATAAATCATATTCTCTTTAATTGTTACATTCCCATAAAAAAAGAAATTTAATAGTGTCCAGTGAAATGATCAACGAGCACTGGAAATTGATTCATCTGTCAGCGAAGATTGTTTTAAGCTAGATGCAAACCATTTTTTTTTTACATTAAATTAGTATATGAACTATAAAAAACTTCAGTATTACTATGTTTCGTATAAAACATGCTTCACATGTCGCTAATGAAAATTACAATAGGGGCTTTGATGGTTAAGTCAAGATCTCATACGCTGGTATGGTGACATTTACAACAAAAAATATAACTGATGTTCCTACAGTTCGAGGATTCAAGCACATTTATTAGTACCTCGAAACAAGTTCTACGAAAGAACATGACTGGTCATAATGATCGACCTTGGTAACAATGAAAACGACGAATGAAATTTCTAAATTTTACTGAATACGCCTATAAATAACATTCGTCTTGTTTTGCCAAGATGTAAACCAATTAAAAACCGTCATTCATCGGACAATCTCGAATGTTTTGGAATAAAAGCTATACAAAATGTACATAGCACAACTATTGTATCATGATGGTCAACAATTTATGTACTGAAATATTAGAATTTTTAATAGCAATTTTTGAAGATGAAGAAAACGATGGCTTGATATTTTTTCGGGCTGAAGCTAGTTTTTACATTTCTAGAGTAGTCAATAAGCATCATTATCAAGTATGAGCGGCAAAAAACTATTCATTTAAGTCGCAAGAAAAATACTTCTCTGATCATTTCTTTTGGAAAAACAAAACGATGCGAAAATTATAACGAAAATCTAGATTGAGCCGGTAAAGAAAAACTTATGTCTACCGACTGTTTACCGTTACTGATTATAACGCTGTGATACATGACTTGTATAAGACTCGGAAGAAATTATGCACAGAAAAAAATAAATATGATTGATCTTCTGATGAGATATACAGATCATAGTTGGAACTATTAAGGTTTTTTTCTTATCGGCAGAAACGATCAGACCAGTCTGTATACTTGCATGAATAATTCTTCATTTTCTTAGTCCTATAAAAGCCCAATTAAGTGCAATGAAAGCAATTTGATAAAAAGTGGCAAGTGCATTAGGATGCATTTTGACTGAATACAATTATTTAGTACATGTTTCTTCACATGAGTAGTCTTTTGGATCAATCATAAAACATGCTCAAGTAATAGGAGAAGCGAGAGAGGGTTCAAATATTTTTTGACGTTGAGATACTTACTGTGAACATTTTTGTTGTCTCATACAACTTTTCGCGAAATTTCGAAGCTCACTAAATTTTGACTAGAACTTTCTAATGAAACATGATTATAATAGATTAACAGTAGTAGAGTGGTGCCAAAAGGGCTTAGCATCTTTCATATCTCTTGCAAAACCATCGTTAGCAACAGTTTTAAGGAATTTTTTTGAAGAATCTCAGACTTTTTTCGTCTCTTTATGACGTCGTTTTATATTTTGTGAAACAGTATCACGGAGACATGAGTACATTTGCATATGTCATTGATATTGAATCTATTTGTTTTTCATATTTTTTAAGATTATCTACTCATTGATATATAATGTATTCAAGAGACAAAAAATGTTTCATAGATTATCTTTCTGTATCAAATGTATATTTATTCATTTCTGTTTTTCTTTTTTTTTTAATATATTTATTTTATAAAAAACGAAGCAATACATTTACAAAAACAGGCTCTATCTAAAGATTTTTTTTTACAATACAGGATTACCAGAGAGAATCAATAAAATTCGACAAATCAGAGCATGAACGAAGAGATTCAATTTTGCATCTGAAAGTCTTTTCTTTGATAACTCATCTCACATCATTATTTCGTTTATAGGAAAAACAATAAGTAAAAAAATCTTCATATCGATTACAACTCTAACACAGATAGCAATTATATAGAATAATATGATCGATTGATTAGTTTGATTACAATGGAAGAAATAATCGAGATATTAATAATTGTTAGATGTAATAGTTCATTCTTAGAAAGATATTTTATTTATTATTGACAAGAAAAGTAGAATAATATTACAATTATTATTTTTTATGTATTTTCTATTTGTTTCTTGCCCTGTTGTTTTGTTTGTGAATATGTGCCTGTTGTAGAATGAATTTTCAATAAATCTCGTAATTCATTTCTATATACAAAAATAAAATAAAATAAAATGATAATATTAAATGAATATAAATCTCATACTTACGTTAATTCATCAAGATCAATTGATGTAAAAAAATTAATTGAAAATCGAATATTTTTTAGATTATTACGAGGAAAAAGACCTTGAAAATATTCTACAATAGAAAATAAAAAAATAATGTTATTTTTCATTTGTCAATTACATACGGATCAATTAAATGATGCTTAAGTTTAGTTAAACCAAGAAATTTAACTAATCCTAAAAATAAATTTTTTTATATAAACACATGATGATGATGTTGTTTCTTCTTCATTTAAATGAATACAACGAAATATCTAAAAAACAATCGATTATAGTTTGTTTTTTTTTTTTTTTTTTTTTTGTTATTGAATAAATACATACTCTCCATGATATTGAATCATTAGAAAGTAAATGTGTAGGGGAGCAACAAACCCAAAGCCTTGGGATTCAGTACAAAAAGATTTGGGTTTGTTCTAGACTAGGATTTGGATTTGGGTTTGGGTTTGGTCTTAAATTACCCAAATATGACGAGGCTTTGTAAAATAAAGTTCCAGAAGGGAGAAAAGAACCCCAAGTCTTACAAATTAATATGAAATGGATTGGATTTGGTATAGATTTGGGTTTTGGGATTTGGATTTGGATCTTATATTTGACTATGAGATTTGGTGTATAGCAGGTTGGGATTTGGGTTTGGGATTTGGATTTGGAGGTTGAGATTTGGTTTCAATTTAACAAGACTACAAAGTTGGAGTCATGTTAGATTGAAACCAAATCCAAAGTCCAAATCCAAATCTAAGACCCAAACCCAAATCCAAGTCCAAATCCAAATCCCAAATTTCAAGCATATCACCAATTCTGAATCCCAAATCTCAGCCAAACAAAGCGATAGCAACAATCCTGAGATTCAAATCTAGATGAAATCCACATCTAGGAACTAAATCCGAACCATACCCAAATCCAGAAACCAAATCCAAATCCAAGTCCAAATCTCAAAGATTTGGTGCCAAATCCCAAATCTATTCAAGATTTGTTGCCCCCTATAAATGTGCAAAAAAATTTTGCAATATTACTTAATTTAATATTATCAAGACGATGAATTATGTCATATTGATCTTGAAAAATTTTTTCAAAATATTCAACATATTCTTTTTTTTTTTATTGAACAAAATCGTTGACCAACTAAACCAAAAAAATCTTTATATATCTGTTGTTGTGCACAATTATCAATAATCATTTGACATAATTCCATCTAAAATTAAGATTTTTAATTGAAATCATACTTCTTGTCCTGAACGTAAATTCAATTTAAGTAATTTATAAACACATTCTTGAGCACTAAAACTTGATTGTATTGTCAAATAAATTGTTCGATGAAACATAAGTAAATTTGTTTCTATTTGGTCTATAATTGTTCGTTGTTGTTCTTCTATGAAACAAAGAATAGAGTAAAATATTGCAGATTTCAACAAAAAATAAAATAAAGATTTAGGACCTTATATTAGAAATTTATGAGCAATAGATCGTTCCATTCAGAGATGTCCATCGCGGTTGAAAACCGACCGCTGCCGCGCCGCGACGATAAAAGAAAAAAGCTAACGTTCCGCTACCGCACCGCTGCCGCGACGCCACCAAAAATAACAATGCCGCGACCGCGCCGCTACCGCGATGATTGTTAGAATAATGTTGTGAATTTTACGATCTGTGACAGTTCAGGACTTGAGCTGTTGTTACTAATCGATAAGATTCGTTGAATCTCATAGTTTTGCACTTGCAAACATTGAAATTCTGTTCGAATTGATGCATTTTTGCATTGTTCTCCAAAAAAACCTACCGCTACCGCGCCGCTACTGCGATAGTTAGCTAAAAAAAGACCGCTGCCGCACCGCACCGCGATGGTTATTTGAAAAAAACAACCGCTACAGCGGCAGCGGCGCGGTGGCGGTAGCGGCAGCGGTCGCGCCGCGATGGACATCTCTGGTTCCATTATCTTATTAAAAAATGAAACGTTATCTGACGTCTTTTATATAAATTTAATAGATGTTATGAGAAATATTCTAAACTGTTTCATAAAGTTTATATTCCGCATGAAGAGATGGTGCTCGTCTGAAGATTGAGTTTTGAAATGCACACTCGAAAGACAAAATACTGCTACTCTGCCAAAAGATTAATAATCATAGTTTTATCTACACACTTATTATAGGATCAACTGTTTATAGGAAAATTGAACAAAAAAGATTTTTGATCTGCAACTTTGTCGATAAATGATTCTTGTAATTTTAAGAATATCTTTAATGTTTTAATCAAAACTTGTGTACTTCGGTCTTGAAATATTCTAAAGAGAAAGTAAAGATTTAGGATGATGAAATTTACCTATTGATAAGGATTTCACTCAAAAACTTCATTCTTCAATTGTCTTGTCAGTATACTAATCTCTGGTAAACATTCTGCAAGAAATGTCTTCCTTCTGTAAAGTTTTATGATTTCGAATCTTTTCCCATGTATTCAATTCATCATATTGTCTATATGCCTAAAAAATGATATAATAGCTGACGAATAGACATGTGCGGGACCAACTTTTTTTGGTCCCGGTAAAAATCTGTTTTTTAGTCCCGGACTCGGTTAAATTTGGTTTTGGTTTTACTCTCAGTCTTAATAACCTTAGTTTTTCTGTTATTTGTCCATATTCAGAAAAATTATTGCAGAATCTAACAGTTTTGGATCTGAAATAATTCTCGAATACTCGCATTTCCTATATTTCTTGTCGACAGCAGACATGTACGGGACTAAAATTTTTTTCGCTCCTGGTCCCGATTCCGCACATGTCTAGTGACGAATCACTTCGGAGATGGTTCTCTCGTTAGGCAATAGTAATGTGATACAAAAACTAGTTTATCTTGACTGTCAAAAATGGTTCAAACAATTCTATATTTACTTAAAATGGTTAAATTGCTTTTCTTTGAAAAGTTGTAAATAAATACCTTTTTCTACTCATCTTCATCATCGGATGAACTAGAAATTGATTTATCTTCATATTGTTCATCATATTTAAATACATCTATAGAAAAGAAAAAAAAATAAAATAAAATAATATGTCTCATAGAAAAATTCATTTTACCAAGCTCTATTTCAGGTTCACATGAAGCATCTAATTTAATCATATGTGTATATTGATCATTTTCATGAATTAAATCAAGACCAAATGGAATAGAAGGATGAACTTTAAATTTATCTTTTCGTAAAACAAATAAAACTTCAATTATATATTGTGTACGTTTATTTAATGATGATTCATGAATAATATTGTGAATATTGAATCTAATCCATTTGGACTATCTTTTAATAATTTTTGTCCATATTCTTTTAAAAAACCAATGACTAATATAATACTATCATCAATTGGTTTTTCAAGTAAACGTACAAGTATTTCTAATGCAACTGTTTCATGTAACTAAATAAAATTTTTTTTTTGTTTTTTTTTTTTTATGAAATAAAAGAAAAATAATGTACAATATTTTGATTTACAAAATGTGCAAGAAATTTTGTTGTTGCTAAACAATTAGTTTTATCATTTCGTTAATATATTCGAAGAAATGATGATATAAGATGTTTACTAATTAATTCACCAATTATGTGAAAATTTTGTATTAATAATAGCAACTAATGCAGCATAAACAGGTGTATAAATTGTTGATGCTATTTGTGCTTGAATAATACTACGAACAAGTAAACCACGATCACGAATAATATTATCTTGAAATAATTCACGAACAATTATTGATAAATTTGATGTATTAACTTTATTAATTCGACCATTAATAAGTTACAATAGATTCTGCAGTAGTAACGAAACAGTCTATCTTATATTTTTGTTACAAGTATCACTATTTCCTAAATTTTTGAATAATGATTCATCAGAATTCTTCGGAATTTTCAGAGTAGATAGATCTTGATAAGTAAAGCAGAAGTTATTATAGGCTCACAGTTTTCAGAAGTTGTTTTCTATGAAATACTGGAATAAAAACTGTGAAAGTTGATCTCAATATCTTCAAAATATTACGTTTGATTGAACTGAAACCGTTATTATATATACTGGACATTGTTTGAAAAGTGTACTTTTATGTATTGCTGTTGACTTTGTTTTCAACGAATTGAAAAATCAAAATATCGAAGGTATCTTAAAAAACATAGTTTTTTTTAACGGTGCTTTTTTGTTGTCAGACCCACTAAAACCCAGCACAAAAATATTTTTTGAAATCAATAAACAAACGTATTCCCGGTTAAGTATCTTCAATGGTAAACAGTACTATGCTAATTAATTACGATAGAAAACGGCAAAAGGTTACGGTGACCATTTACAGCAACCGCAAACACGATGTTTTATTATATGTTATTGCCATTGTAAACCATGAGTGTAGAAAGACGCAGTTGAGGGCTCGCATAAAAAAAACGTGAATGTATATGTTGTTCGTAACAGATCATTACGCAACCTATGCGGCAGTTGGAGACAGTTTAATGAACGATCATCGTTTTCTATCGTCCTTCAACGTAAGCAGTTATTGACGATATAGCGACCTATTCTCATTGAACATCAACAATAGTCACCTTTGGTTTGTTGTAGATATCATCATGTCGACAATACTTGTTTATCAGCAAACGCCAATAACGATCGTGAGTTGTAGTTGATACAACATCTTCTCAATATTTATTGCCCTTAAAACTGATGTATTTTTGAAAAATCACTAGATACAATGTAGGATTTCCATAAGATGTACTAGCCTCACAAATGTTTTCACAGTATAAGAAGTATCACACTTACTGTTACTTCCCCTTCCGCTTACCATGGGCAATAGTAAGTGTTTTTAAGATCAAAATACTTCCTATTCAGTAGCAATAGATAGCAAGCAGAGATGTCCATCGCGGTTGAAAACTGACCGCTGCCGCGCCGCGACGATAAAAGAAAAAAGCTAACCGGCGGCTACCGCACCGCGGTGATAAAAACAGAAACCCTACCGCGCCGCTGCCGCGACGCCACCAAAAATAACCATGCCGCGACCGCGCCGCTGCCGCGATGGTTGTTAGAATAATGTTGAGAATTTTACGATCTGTGACTGTTCAGGACTTCAGCTGTTGTTACCAATCGATAAGATTCGTTGAATCTCACAGTTTTGCACTTGCAAACATTGAAATTCTGTTCGAATTCATGCATTTTTGCATTGTTCTCCAAAAAAACGTACCGCTACCGCGCCGCTGCCGCGATAGTTAGTTAAAAAAACGACCGCTGCCACGCCGCACCGCGATGGTTATTTGAAAGAAACAATCGCTACCGCGCCGCCACCGCCACAGCGGCAGCGGCGCGGTGGCGGTAGCGGCAGCGGTCGCGCCGCGATGGACATCTCTGATAGCAAGTTTATTGATTGATTATATATCGTTGCATTGGAATTATCTTTCACATGGTAAGAAAGGAAGTTACCGTTATTGCATAGAGTTTCATATAAGGTTTTTGTGATCGAGAAATCTGAATCTTTTGATGGATTATCGAAAGGAGGCGTGTTAAATTACGGACACAATTCAACCAAAAATTTGAATTTAATTTTGGTATCCTAAGAGTCAGAAAAGATCTCTGATTATTTGACGCTATTTTATGCTATTCTGTATTACAGTTTATTTTTTCATGCTTGAGGTATTCGCATATATTACAGACGATCTCGTTATTTTCTGGCTCAAATAAAATAAATGAAAACTAGACATTCTCATTCAGATTACAATTACAACTATATGTCAGTGATTAACATGTTACGAAATTCTTCTTTCCTTTTTCAGAAGACATTTTTTCTATAAGTACGTGCCTTCCACAAAGAAAAAAAATGATGCATAGAATTTAAATAGAAAAGCATAAAACAATAGTTATTTGAAAAAGTTAAACGATATCCGAGAAAGTAGATATGGGTGATTATATTTAGAACACTCTTGGCTTAGGTAATCTGATCAGAACGAGATTTGAAAGTACATTTATCGTATAGCCGCATAATAATATTTTCTAATTTTGCTGTTTATCTTGGAAAAAAAATGGAAAATCTTGGTTAGAACTTAAAATCAGAAATGAGAAGATGTATCATCTTCTTCAAAGTTAATATTCGTACGAGACGAAAGTCAACAGATTTGATCGAATAATTCTTTTCTGTATCATAGTATACTTTCGCAATAATCTTATTGAGTGTTGACATATAAAAAAGTAAAGAGAATAATTGCACAATCTGTAACTTGATGCAACTTAAATAGAATGTGAATATTGAAGAATAAAGACGAGCCGCGATCGGTGACCAAACACAACTCAATGTTATGAGACAGAAGCATCACATTTAGTCCTTCGGGACTATGGTTGTCGATCAAATCGATACTCGTTATCTTTTTTCTTCAAATTTTCCATGAAAATGAAAGTAATAGCAAGAAACAATTTACCAATTAGTTTTTGAAAATGTTTTAGTATTTTCTACTTCAATCTTCTCTACAACAAAGAATTGCATCAAAATTAACTTCTCGAAATAGCAAAGCAAAATTGATGCTGAACTAACTGGTAAAATTTAGATAGATTGACAGAAAATCGATGAGACTCTTGATGATCTGAATAAGTGTGAATTGAACGATGATGAACAATAAATATCTAATGCAGACATTCACGACTATTTGAAAACATTTTCATGTCGAAAATAAAAATGAGGCATAAATTCATATAAGAATAAGTCTGGATATTGAGAAAGTACCAATCGAGCACTTCGACCCAGTCTAAGTGCGACATTTCTTTAGGCTATGAGTATGCAATAGAACATGAAATTTCCTATTTGTGACACAGTTAAGAAATGCATAGCTTCATCTGTCAATAGAAAGCATCAATGGCGATCTTCCTCTGATTGATACTGATGATCAAGATCTACCGAGTTGTATGCGTAGTAAAAAAAGTGTCATTCAAAACAACTCAAGTTTAGTGTTTTATGTTTTCAGCTACAATGGAATGTAGACATAGTATTTAGCTTTTATCATACATCTTATTTTTTAATCGCTATTAAGCTTTAAACTAGAGTTGTAACTGAACTGGATCGATTGAAATCTTTAGACCAACTAATTTTTGATTCCTGCAATTATTTTCCTGATAAACTTTGCTGAGAATAATCAATCAGTATTGTTTCAAAGTTATGTTTTTTATTGTTTTTTTGCAAAAAAAGTACAATTAAAACTTTGCTACTTGAACTAAACTTAATCTCATATCGATTATTTGAAGAGAAATGTTAGGTTTAATCTATAAAGATTGAATAACAAAAATTCAGAATTAAACAAATATAAACGACTAGAATATAATAGTTTTTGTTTTTTATTTCCTGAAGATTTGTAAAAAGCTTGAACGAAAAAATGAAAAAAAGATTTAAAAGTTTTATATTTACAAAATAATTCTTTTATAAAATATTTTTAATAAAATCATTCTAAGATACTTTTGCTAAATAATAATTAATTTCTGTCAATAAATTATCATCATGTATACGAGCATTTTGTTGAAATTTAAGTGCAAGTTGAAAATTTTTTTGTGCTTCAAGATTTTGTTTTTGTTTATAAAAGATTCGACCAATATTAATATAAAATATTGCCGTAATTGATGAATCAAATTCAGTAATATAATGACTATGATTTAGAGCCTGTTGAAAATATTTCATTGCTTCATTATAATCACCTAATTTTTCTAGAATTGCACCAATAGCAGCAAATGTTGGTGAAAGTAAAAAATCTTTTGATGATGTATGAGATGATGATTGAATATTTATACATTCTTGATAATGAAAAAGTGCTTTTGGAAAATTATTCATTTTTTGATTAATACGTCCAAGCATACGATGAATATTGTATAGATTTTTTTGTTTATTTTTCATTGTATTTTGAAGTAAAATTTCAAATATATATTTTGCTTTAATTAAATCATTCATTTCAAATATTATTTGACCTAATAAATAAAATTTATTTGATTTTTCATATTTTTTTTGTATTGTATAAGTTAAATCTTTCAATTTATTATTATTATTATCTATTAAAATTAAATTAATTTGCCATAATTTATTTTCAATACGTTCAATTTTATTTATTTGAAATATTGGATTTAATGAAAAAAGTATATATTGATCTGTATCATGATAATAATCTAATTCATCTAATTTAATAAATGGACATAATGTATTTAAATAATTAATTTCAATTTGAAATAAAATACATACTAAATTAATATCATTTTCTGATTGTTTTGCAAAAACATATGAAGATTCTTTATTAATTGTTGTTAATAAAAAATTATTAAAACATATTAAACCATTTATATTCATATATAATTGATTAAATTGTTCATTTAATATTCCTTGTCCATAATAGACAATTAATTTTTTATTATCATTAATTTTCATATGTAAATATTTTATTTGTTCATGTAAATCATATATAAAAAATGATATTTTATTTAAAATTTCAATATCATATAATCTTAATGTTCTATTTATCATTGAATAAATAAAACATTCTCGAGTATACCATTCAATAGGTGATATTTGATTATAAGTATTATTTTTAAATTGATTAATAATATTTAATTGAGAAAAATTTTCATTATAATGAAAATGAGAATATTCAATAAAATCAATTTTCTTTTGTTCATTAGATTCACTATGAATTAATATTTCTTTTAATAATAATGAACAAATAAATGATTGTTTTAATTCATTTGAATTTATATTTGGAAGAATACTAATAGATATTAAATCATTATTTGCTTGACGTATATCTCGTCGAAATGCATCACGAATTGATTGAAGATCCGTATAAACTCCTTTGACTTTTTGAATATCTTTCGTCCATTTTTCATAATGTTCTCTATTATTACAATAAATATAGATTGAGTGAACATATGTTTGAGTTTCTATTTGAGGAATAATCTTTTCACCAATAGTACCTGATGTAATGATAAATAGTTTTTCTTCTTTAATATTTTGAATAAATTCATAGAATTCATTTGGATTAGAAAATAATTTTATTGTATTAATATATAATTGAAATAATTGAAGTGGATTTTCATATTGTTCAAATGTTTCATATATATTTTTATCTAGCCATATAAGTATAAAATTTTCGACAATTTTCTTTTCAAATTTATGTCTTTGAATATCAGTCGTAAAAATTGGATTTTCTACTTTTGAATGAATAGAGTTTTTCAAATTTTCACTTGCCATCAATATATAATGGCCTTGTATTCTCTTGTCAACTACTTCTATTCTCCTAACACACAATTCACAGTCGTTTTGTCAACCACGAGGATAAAGAACAAGAATTTGTTGATGTAAGAAAAAAAAATGAAAAAAAAGACGCTTGTTGTTTTTTTTTTTCTTCCTTCAAATGCTTACAATTTGATGGTTAACAACAAAGGTATTTTCATTGTAAAAAAAATGCCGTTAAGCAAAAAAAAATGAACCGAAAATTGTATGTGATATACAAATGATTATTTTGTTATTTTTTTTCATATATGAAGAAGATTACATAGGTTCATTGTTTCAATAATATCCATTTAGTTTGTAATTTCATTGTCGTTGATGTAGCCGTTTTTTTTTCTCACATTACAAAAAGAATTCAGTAATTTTCTTTTCCGTTGAACTTAACCGATCGAAAGAAATTTTGAGAATCTTAGATTAGAATCAAGTTTTTGTACTTATTTCGGACTTTATACACGAATTTTTGAATGACCTGAAAGTAAAATTTCGATGAAAAATGTGACTGTATCAGGTTTAACAATGATTTTATGCTGTTTTTTTTTTTATCAGCGTTTGTTCGTTCTCACCACCTTTGTACTTTTGTCTTAGGAATACTGATTTCGCTTGTCGAGGGAATCTCTTCAGGTGTCTCTATTTCGATCTCAATGATTTTTTTTTCTATAGATGCAGCATAATGTTTCGACGAAAATCTTAAAAGGATTTGAGTACCTACTGAAATTTAATTAAACTATCGAATTTCGTTCTAGAAACAACAGCTTTTCGGAGAACTCATATTTTTGAATTTTAATCTCAAAAATTGTGCATGTAGAAAATTCAACTATAATAGCTTTCATAAACTAAAAATTCAGAAGTTTCAGACACAATTTCTTCGAGATATGAAGCTGTCGAAAAAAAAACACATGTTGAATACAATATTCATAGAAAATGACCTATATCTTGAAGTTCTCATAGTTTGAAGAAATTTTCTTCAAGACTTGTAAATTTTATATGAAAATTGATTTAGTTATGTACAAAGCTTCAAATCTCAATAGAAACTCAAATTCTTTTAGAGTTTTTATTGGAACATTATTTATCTATAGGCAAACAAAATCATTGAAATTAGAATAGAAAGCAGCTGAAAAAATCAATTTTCTTCTTCTTTTTATTAAAAATGTTTTGAAAACAATTCAAATCAATACATAAACAATAGACATTCTTCTCAATAATCATATATGTTCTATTAAAAATTTTTGTCCAGCATTAATAAAAAGGTGATGTTCTATGAAGTACACGAAAGGCTTTACAGCAATACTTAAGAAATGATCGAGTTGATTCTATAAGTGTGACTGAAGACAGGTCAGTGTATCTTCTTATCGAAATTCTTCGTTTACTGAAAACTAACAATGAAGATATTATTTTATAGAGAAATGTTTGTTCTTTCTTTTAATATATTTTAAATAAATTTTATTTCAACATTTCTTTGTGCACTGACATTGATTCAAACATGATTGTCATACTACTTAGAGATTCGTGGCTTGGTATTTAAGAAAATTGTTATCTCTAAAAAGAATTTTATGTATTTGATGCAATAGCATAAGAATAAAATTGATAAAGAAAAAAAACTCAATGTATGTTGTTGTTGTTGTTGTTTTTTTATTATTCTTGATCTATGATTATTTTGTGTTTATGGATTATGTCAATGAAAATCGATATTATTTTATTAACATGCAAACCCTAGATAAGATTAAAGTGCATTGTTAGTACTTTGATTGATTGTGAAGGAAGAAAAATATTTGCATTTCAGTTTTAATGATATGATCGATTTATTTTTCAAAGACAAAGTCCAATGTTTTATGAAGTTTTCTTGTTTAATACATACATATATAAGTACAAGGGAATGTGTCTTAGCGCGACCTCCATTGACAAAATCTATTAATAGTTGAATCGATAATTTATTTTATCCAGTTGAGACGTTATTTGGTCTATTTGTACAATTAAGAACATTATTTTCAATTTTACTGTACCCAAAACCTTGATTATTTTCTGTACACGTGACATATTCATTTATTAACGTTTGCAAGGCCAACTATGCCCTTACTTTTTCAGCTGTATTACGTTCTATTATTTTTAGGGCATTTATTTTTTTTTCGCATATGTTCGTTTTATATTTTTTTTTTTTTTGTAGGTTAACATCGATATAATCACGCGTTCGATGTGTGATAAAAATTGCATCTGATCAAATTAAGATTTTTCTACATATACTCAACGATCATATATGATTATATTTTATTCAAAAATATAATATGACACTTACACATACTGAAAAATCTACTGCTTCGAACCATTGTGATGTACATCAAAATGGTATTGATAATAGAAAAATGTCTAATTCATCAGATTATTTTGGTGAATTTAAACATTCACAAAGTGAACATACATTATTAAAGACTCGAGCAAATTCTCTTCTACCAGTTAAATATATAAGTTTAACAGAAAAAATTCAAAAACGTATTGCTAATAATGATCGTTGGTATTCACTTGAATTTTTTCCACCACGTACAACAAATGGTGCTGTAAATTTGATTGGATGGTAAATAATTTCATTTAGTTTTTTTTTGTTTTTTTTTTCTCTTTTAATAATATTTTTTATTTTGAAATAGTTTGGAACGTATGGCTGTTAGTGAACCATTATTTTGTGATATAACATGGCATACAGCTGGTGATCCAGCTGGTACGAAAGAAACAAGTACAATGATGATTGCTAATACAATGTTAAATTATTGTAATATTGATACAATGTTACATATAACATGTTATGGTGCTAAAAAAGCAACAATGATTGAATATCTTTCGAAAGCAAAAGATTTTGGTATTAGAAATTTACTTGCATTACGTGGAGGTAAATGTTAAATTTATCAAAAATAAATTTTAATATAAGCCAAAAATAAACAAAACAATAATTTCTTTTTAGATCCACCAGTAGGAGAAAAATGGAATCCAGAGAAAACTGATTTTCGATATGCATCTGACTTGGTTAAATTTATTCGAGAAAATTTTGGTGATTATTTTGTCATTTGTGTTGCAGGTAAATTTCAATAATTCTTAATAAAAATATATTATTGATTGTGATATTTTTATTTTTGTTCGATTGAAGGTTATCCAAAAGGACATCCTGATTCGAAAACTTATGAAGAAGATTTACATTATTTAAAAGAAAAAATTAATTGTGGAGCTGATTTTATTATAACACAATTATTTTTTCAAGCAGAAACATTTCTTAAATTTCAATCTGATTGTCAAGCTGTTGGAATTACATGTCCAATTATTCCTGGAATATTTCCAATTCAAGTAAAAAAAAATAAAATTTATTAAAAAAAAATAAGAAATTCTTTATAATTTTAGGCTTATGCAAGTTTTAAAAATATTGTTCGATTAACTAAATTAGATGTACCTGATGAAATTACAGCTCATATGGAATCTATCAAAGATAATGATGAAGCTATACGTGATTTTGGTGTTCAAACATGTGTTGATCTTTGTAAAGGTTTATTAGATTCTGGTAAAGTTCATGGACTTCATTTCTATACATTAAATCGTGAATATGCAACAAGTGAAATTTTAAAACAACTTGGCTTTGGTTTTGAAGATCCTCCATTACGTGCTTTACCATGGAAGAAAACTTCAAAAAATCATGTACGTTCAAAAGAAGATGTTCGTCCTATATTTTGGAGTACACGACCAAAATCTTATATACATCGTACATCAGATTGGAATGAATTTCCAAATGGACGTTGGGGTATATCATCAGCACCATCATTTGGTTTATTAACTGATTATCATTTATTTTATATGAAAATTGATGCAACACGTGATGAATTACTTGATGAATGGGGACATGAATTAACATGTGAACAAGATGTTTGGAAAATGTTTGTTTGTTATATAGGTGGAAAAAAAAATAGTTCAGATAAAATTCTTCGTCATTTTCCATGGAAAGATGAAGAAATATCACCTGAAACAAATTTAATACATAATGAATTAGTTGAATATAATCGAAAAGGTATTTTAACAATTAATTCACAACCAGTAGTTAATGGAAAACCAAGTACAGATCCAATATTTGGTTGGGGTGAAAGAAATGGTTATGTTTATCAAAAAGTAAATTTTATTATATATTGATAATAAGTTAATGATTTTCTTTTTTTTTTTAAGGCTTATTTGGAATTTTTTACAAGTGCAAATAATATTCCAGCTTTACGTGCTGTTTTGAAAAATTTTCCTGGTGTTAATTATCATTTTGTGAATAAATCTGTATGAGTTTTTTTTTTGTTTTGTATATATTTAAATTTATTTAAATGAAAATTTATTTATAGGGTGAAGTTAATGAAACAAATGCAGATGATGAACAACCAATTGCATTAACATGGGGTGTTTTTCCTGGTAGAGAAATTATTCAACCAACTGTTGTCGATCCGGTTAGCTTTATGATCTGGAAGGTAATCAACTTAAATAATTTCTTTTTTTTTAATGATTCTTATTATTTCTCTTTTTTTTTAATATTAAGGATGAAGCTTTTGGTTTATGGATGGAACGCTGGGGTAAATTATACGAACCAGATTCACGTTCATATTCAATTATTGAGCAAATCTCAAATACATATTTTCTCGTCAATTTAGTCGATAATGATTATCCACAAGGTTCTTGTCTTTGGGCAGTTTTAGATGCAATGTTTGAATATCAACAAAAAACAAATCAAGATATAAATCGTTGATAATATATATTTTTCTTTTTTTTTTTTTTGTGATACATTTCCAATTAAAATTTTTTTTTTTCGATTTAATATAAATTGTAGAATAAACACAGAGCTTCTAGACAGATATTTTTTTTTTTGTTGTTGTTGTTTTAGAAAAAAATGAGTCGAACTACATTTCTTAATGTTGATGATACAAAAGCTGGTATGGCAGATTTAGATAAAGAAAAAATTA